ATCTATTCCTGGGTGCGCATATACCTTAATACATCTCTTAATATAAAACATTCTGTCCATTTGATGAAACAGATCACAGTCCACAAAAGCTTATGCCAAAACTTTGTTAATAAAATGTACCAAGATTTTGTTTCTGCTACAATAGACTAACATGGTTGAAGTGATATGGTGTAAGGTTACACACAAACTGTCCACAAGGGGCTTACTTCCAAGTCTTAAACTCATTTGCTTCAAAGTCCAGTTTATTGTTTTTCTAAAGTTCTGTATGTGCATTGGCTTCCTGGATAAACATATAGAAAAGAAGTTTTAGTCAGTTCAGTGGATCTAATCCCCATGGTGAGAATAAATAAACAAACAAACAAATAAATAAATAAATAAATAGCACTCCACCTTATACTATTAATTCTACTGAGGTATTTCTTAGTGCATTTCAGACTGAGATTAATTAAAATCTCCAGAATAGTATACTTCTTCAAAGTAGGGATCCTTATTAGAACTCTGAAGAACTTATGGAAGAACCTTACTGAAGATAGCATATTTCTTTGTTCTTCCTGAAAATCACCAACATCTAATCCATTCCAAATAAAATGTAATATGAATTAGTTACCCATATCTGTTAACTGAATTAACTCCAAGAATTGTAATTCATAGAATATTTGTGGGAGGTGGCAAAAGGCAATTAAAATGTTTAATTTCTTCCTGTTTCTTGTATATTCAGGCTTTGATTATTCCTTGGATGCCATGAATTTACCATACAAAAGGGGTCTATAAATCTTTTTAAGGCTATGGAACCGGAACCTGGAAATAAGCCTCCTTGCCCGCAGTTTGAAGTTTACCCCAGAATCAGTAAACATGCACAGGGCTGACATCTCTGTTTTGTTTTCAGTCCAAACACATCTGTTTTAAAGGAATCGGATCAGTGAACTGAATAGCGTGGGTCCAGCGCTTCTGCCTTCAAGAAGACTTTTCCAAAGTATGGGTTAATCCCCCAATATGCACCCTTTCGTTCTTGACTTTTCTTCTAGCTCTCCTATCGGTGTTTATGAAAATGAGCGATTCTGAAAGGCTTGCCATCCCGCTAGTTGCAAGCCTCGCATAAATGATGACAATAGCTTAGAGGGTTTTTTCCCCCCAAGTGAACGGGGTAGATCTGTGAAAATAATATCAGGCTTATCCGTCAGAATGAACGTCGGCGCATAGCCAGGCGTGCAGTAATCTGACCCGACACCTCCAAACTATCTGTGCTATGTATCCGCCGCCTGATTTGCCAGATCTTCCCGAGAAAAAGTCGCCGTTACTGAAGAAAAAGCGATGGAAGACCTCCCTCCAGCCTCAGGTTTCTCTCTCCAGATAGAGATCGCTGCACGCATCTGAAACTGGAGGTTTTTTTCACTGACAAGGGAGCACGGCAAAATGATCTCCACGAAGATTTGTTTGTTTATAATTCTCATTTCTAAGGCCGCCCAACTCACCCACGATGAGGACAGAAGTCTCCCCAAGTCTCCCACTAAGAGAGCGTCCCTTTTGAGAATTGTGGGCCCCGCAAAGGAGTAATAACCAAGGCAACGTTAGAAAAATAGAAAGTATTGCTTAAAGGCTTTGCCTGAAGTTACCATTCAATTCAATTCCAAGTATTAAGAGGTGGGTGTTAGTTTTTGAACGCTGTTCTGAGCAGGGGAAATAGGCGCCTAGGATTTTCCTTTCAGAAGAGCCTTCCCGCAACCTAAGGACCTTCAGATGTGCCGGAATACAACTCCCACAGTCCAGGCCAGCTCGGACATTAACCAGAGGATGTAGCCCAACACGTCTGGAGAGTAGCAGCCTGGCGGAGAGTGTTCTAAAATAAACCAGATTCCTTGGACAGTTTTCTCTGCATCTTCTTCCCTCTCCTCATAAAGTTGCAGCTCCGATGGTGCAAATTTGCAAATGATAATGATGATGCTTTTTTAAAAGCTTCCCTAGGCATTATAGGAAATGAATATTTATTTTTTGTTCATTTTGAGCAAGGGACGGAAAGGAAGAACAAGTCGCGGTGTACTAAATGGCAGACTATAGGGGAGGGGAGAATCAATCCTTATGACTGGGAACTGATCAATAATGTAAAAGATTCTTTGGAAGTTGCTTGTCCTGACCTACAAATGACTTCTCACTTCTTTCCCGGCTTTTCTGGGTGTTTATTCGAGGCTGCTGAAGCGCAAACGATGAGGTCTAAAATGGTGAGGTTGGGAGTTGGGCGAAAATTAAACAAGCAAATGAAGGGGGGGGGGGGGGGGAG